GACATGTATCGAATCGCAACACTCATGCCAATACTCCCCTCTAGTTGTGACAAACACCAGATACAGCACTGGGACAGCCGATACTGTGGCGTCACAAACCAGTAGGTGGCAGTAGTGTTCTTTGACAAACATGGATTTCTCCTGTAAAGCACGTTCAAATGAAATTTACTTTTAATTATAAACACTAATTTATTGAACAGTATGTCCAATAACTTTCAGAAGTTCTATGACTGAATATGACGGGACTTTTCCTATTAGAAAATCCATCCATCTGTCTTTGTGCAGGATGTCTCAGTGCCTCCTTTTATTATCAGCCATTTAAGACAAAAAAAACTTTTAACAAAAGCGACTTTAAAGTGCAGATGGTTGCTAGCTGAACTTTGCTCTAAACATTAAACTCTGTTTTGTTCAACCAATCAGATTTGCTCCACCAGGAGAACTAGCGGGCCCACATGAATCTGAGCAATTTCAAAGCTCACTAATGTTTTTAGGCTACATCAATCAGCAATACTGATTCTGAAGGCAGTGGGCAGATTTGGTTGATATAGCAACACATAGAGGCTGAAATCTGATTGGACAAAAAATATAGCAACCACATCAGTGATGGCTACTGCTCTCTGAAACAGGGGTGGCTAAAATGTGTTAATTAAATCCAAATGTTATGTTTTGCATTAACAAATGTTGAAAGCCGTAAAAAAAAGTACATCAATATAACAGGTGAGAATAGCTGCTGTGAAGCTCTGAAATAATAAACTCCAGAAATCGCAGAGAGAGTTCAGCACAATGTTACTGTTTCATGACCCGCCCCTGCTCCAAAGACCCCCTAAGGGGTGTAGCCTCACTGGAAGTGACGTGTTTTAGAGCGTTTTCCAATCAGGGCTCTACTTCTCCATTGCTTACCTCAACAGACCGAGGCTCAGATCTTAGCAGGAATTTCTCATAGAGGCTGACAGAGTCCTGCTGCTCCAGAGCGGAGGGGAGATTGCATCCCAGGACAGAATAAACAGCTAATTAATGGGCAACATACCCGTGAAATCAGGCGCATTTTAGTGTATATTTAATCCAGTTTAATGATTACATTGATGCATATTTTACTAAAGTTACTAAGGAGGTTTAGCCTCCATAGTATTCAGTGGAAAATCACCACTGAAACATCCATCCATCCATCTTCTAACACGCTTAATCACAAGTGGGGTCGCGAGGGTTACTGGTGCCTATCTCCAGCTAGCGCCACTAAACCAAATGAACCAAATTGAAGTAGCGCAGCCAAAAGAAACGCTACAAAGTTTAAGGAATGGATTGTTTGGAATAAATTGATATGGTTTTTTTTAGAAGAAAATTAAAGTTTAGGTTGAGAAGGTAAGGTCGTGTTTCTGGTAGTTTTAAGGCCAACTTGGAAGGCCTGATCGCCCACTGATAATAACCTTTTCGTCTTCAGGCAACAGAAGCTTGTTCTAAGAAATGACTCGACTAGCAGCACACAGCAGCTACGCCTGCTGATCAGAGGTCAGGACCAGGACTGCTTTCAGGTTGGTGTTTTTTCTATTCAATTCTTTCAATCAAACACTCTGATTTAGACCATGTTAATTCAGAACATCTCCAAATAAGTTCTCACCATCATAATTTCAGAATGTTGTAGTGATGCATCTGATAAGAAACAATATATTCAATATGATATTTTGTTAATCTAGTTTATTTCAATTATGGCTTTAAAATAAAAAAAACAAATTTCGTTTCTTCAAAATGTAAAAAAATTATTTGGCATCAACCTGTTTATTATATAATCAGCAGCACATATCTGGGATGTCAGGACCCAGTCCTAAAGGGTCGGTGAAGGTACCAGATCTGCTCGGATCCTGCGCATGATTGGCTGAACGTTGCAACATGATGTCAAGTATTGTGGTTGCCCAAACGATAATAACGTCACACAGTGGAGCATGTGTAGCGTTAGCATGTCTAATGACCAATGAAGTTTTACCTGATCGATAACACAACTGAAAAAAAATCAGTTTATGGTGAACAAAGTAACTGTTAGACCGTGATATAAAGGGGGATAGCTGGGTAGCGCTGT